CTCCCGTGCTCAGGGGAGCATGTGCGCCCGGAGCCCATGGCTGACAAACTCATTCCTCGCCCAGACAGGCCTGGCCGGATTCCTGACTCAATCATCCCTTCCCCAGCGACCCCGAAACGAAGCCTCAGGAGCTGAGTCCACGGAGCAAGACTCGGTCCTTTGTCCCCCGCCGCTACTGCTGCTCCGGAATGCGGGGCTTCACCTCATGCCCTGGGAGCTGAAAAGCGAGAGGGAGGCATTGGCTGGGCAGGCTCCTCAGGCCTTTGATGTGCAACCGTTTCCACTTGCAGCACACAGACCAGCCAGACTCCAGTTAATAGCAGACCCAGCTCTTCCAGGGTTACTGACCCCTGACGACCCCGGCCCCTTGTAATTACGATCGTACCGCCCGTCACAGCCCGCGGCGCTTCGCCCCGCCCACCAGCTCTGCAATAGGTACACTAGCGCTGTCCTTAGTAACCCCACACGGAGACGCCGGCTGCACTCAGAGAGCTGTCCAATGCTTTAGAACAAGTTCATGTAGGCCTAAGCCCCCAGCCCGGCGGAATGCTACCGCATTACATGGGTTACAGAATAATCGATATAGAGCACAGCAACGGGAGAAAAACGTAAGAGCGGCCAGACTGGCTCAGACAAGTCCATCTAGGCCAGTATCCTGCCTTCCAACAGTGGCCAGTGCCAGGTGCCCCAGAGGGAGTCAACAGAACGGGGCAATTATCAAGTGATCCCTCCCCTGTTGCCTATTCCCAGCCTCTGACAGAGGCTAGGGACTCCATTCCTGCCTATCCTGGCTAATAGCCATCGATGGACCTATCCTCCATGTATTTATCTAGCTCCTTTTTGAATCCTATTCAAGTTTGGCCTTCACAACATCCTCTGGCAAGGAGTTCCACAGGTTGACTGTGCATTGAATGAAGAAATTCGTCCTTTGGTTTGTTTTAAACCTCCTGCCTATGAATTTCATTTGGTGGCCCAAAGTTCCGGAGTTTTAGAAGGACTAAATAATGCCTATTTACTTTCTCCACACCCGTCATGATTGTCTAGGCCTCCGTCGTATCTCCTGATAGTCGTCTTTTTTCCAAACTGAAAAGGGCCAGTCTTACTCATCTCTACAATATCCTCCCTTGGCGGTTCTCTTTTCCCAACTGAACCATCCAAGTCTTGTTCATTTCTCCCCACACATGCCACAAACATGGGAGACCCAGCTGTTCGGACTCATGCCTTGGCTAGACCGTTCCCTACGCTGGAGCTGAGCCACTGAGCACTTCACACCTGGAACAGGCCTGGGCTGCCTTAGCCAAGGAAGCCCCTGGTCCAAAGGGATTCCTTGGCAGAGTGCTTAAGGCTGCTTTCTGCCATGTACTGATGGGCTACGCTCCTACCTGGACATTAGGGCCAGTTTCTGCCACATTCCCTGCCTTCCTCCGAGCAGCACCTTTCTCGGATGGGGGCAGAACTGGGACTCTCTTCCAGATCGCAGAGCCCCAGCTCCGTGGGTTCTCGCCTTGACCCCCAAAAGGGTAGACAGCCCAGGACTGGATGACAGCAGCAGGCACAGCCTGGCGGGCGATGTTACTCTGAGGACTGGCAGCCCGGCCCGACAGACAGACGCATGGGTTCAGACATCAGGCAGCTGAATTTTTCCACCAGCTCCACTGGCTGCTGCTCCAAGCATCCATACAGCCTCGTTACCTAACACTGCCACTTCCCTTCCAAGGAGACCCCGGCCTTGCGTCCTTTCTGCAGCAGGAACTGGAGAGCAGGGGGGCCATGCTGGGGCAGGCCAGGCCCACGCAGAAAGGATCTGGGCAAGGAACGCAGCAGCTTTGGGCGGCAGCACAGGAAGCATTTGAGCGAGCGAGTGTGGACAGCCCTTTAAGGAGCAACACTTCCAAACTAGAGCAAGTGGCTTGAGACTTGACACTGAAATTCAACTACATTGTATCTTTGTTGCAAGCTTATTTTCCTTTCTTCTTCCTTCCTTTCTGGAGAACTCCAGAGCATATCTGGACAGGAGATGAACAGCTTCAATGAAATGCAACGAGATGGTCAGTTTCTTCCAGGAAATCAAGAATCACCAAGCTAACCAAGACAGAAAACCTTTCTGGCCTTCTAGCCTGAGCTCACTTACCCAAGTGGTCAGTCACTCCAGATAATTAGGGAGGCCTCATTAAACAACCCTGTCGTTAGGGGGCAGTTGAGATGTTCAGTTAAAGCAGAGTTTAAAACCCTTCTTTGCTGTTCACATGCTCATCACGTGAATGTGCAGCACTTAGACCAGGTCTTCACTGCAGGGACACTGCCGTGGTTGATTGTCTGGCGTTCTACTTGGCAGGTCTAGGAAAAGGGCTTGGTCCCCACATTGTCACCAGCTGGCCAGAGAGCTCGGCTAGCATCTACCTGAAGCGGCTGGTTGTCAGACATGTGGGGACCCAGGGTCTCCCAATGAGACCAAAGAGGGATTCCCTCCTCCTCCAGTGAGCGTCCTCGCTGCTGCTGAGTTCTGGCCTGCCCTGCCAGCATCACTCGCAGCCAGCCGGACCGAGGTGGCAGCAGAGATGTCACAGAAGTTCACCGGGGCCCAGGCGGACACAGCCCCGGGGAATGGCGGCTGGCTCGCAGAGAAGCTGGCGGGCTGTAATCTCCTCTCTCATCTCCCTGGCCCGGGGCCAGAAATACAGGGCGAGATGTCAGAATCCCCATAAAAGGAAAGAGAGCCAGTCCCGGCGCCTCTGTCAGCGGGCACGCGGGGTGTGCGTTGGCCAGGCTCGCCTCCGTGCAGCTGTGCACTTTGACCTGACGTTCGATCGCTTGCCGGGACAGCTTCAGCCGCACGGGTCCGCGTCCCATCCCCGCGCCGACCGCACGTCCCAAGCGGGGCTTCAACGAGCTGCGTGGGCACGAGCACGAGGCACGCAGGGCTCAGCCACTGCAAACTGGTATCTGCTGCCGCAGGAATTCGGACTCCAAAGTGCCCCGGTGCTTGGGGGAAAGAGGGAGGCACCTCGCACGGTGCTAATGGGCAGCAGCCCTCTCCCGCTGCTATTCCTCACAGGGGCAGGACCAGCTGCACAAAGGGGTGTGCTGGAGGGCTGCTGCCGTGTGTGAGCTACACAGCTGGCTCTAAGCCCTGCCCTGTGTGCACAGTGGCTGCTCTGCTCCATTTGGCGCTAATGCAGGGGGCTCGTTTGCAATCTAAGCTCACCCCACTGGGCTTCACTCGCCATAAACGCTGGGCCAGGGCTGGAGGAGAGATCTGTCCCGAGCGGCCAGAGATGCGTGCTAGGGCCACACAGCATGCGAGCCAGCAAACCGGACTTTGCATGCCAGGAGCTTAGTGCTGTCTCTTCACTAGCACCCTCCAGAACCCCGCTCCTCCTACCACTACCTGCGGGGTGAAGGTGTCACCCACACCCCGCTGGCTGCGCTACACCGTCCCATCTAGTGGCACTGAGACCATCACAGAGAGAAGACTGAGCCACTCGACAGCCTTAGCTAATACAGCTTTGAGCTCAAGCGACAGAGACTCGTGCACTAAGCTCCAGAGGTCCCTGGTTCGGTTCCGCCCACAGACAATCGGGGTCTAACAGCATTACAAAGGGTTACAGCACCTGGGCAAAATGTGGCCAACCCCCCCTTCAGCTGAATGGAACAAAGCTACAAGCAGGCACTGGAAATGCCACATGCACTCCAGGGACATGGCCAGGGTGGGCGGGCCTAGAAGCAGCCACTGTTCGGATGACTGGCACGTCCCAGGAGTCGCAGCGTCAGGGAGTGGATGGGGGTCAGCACCCTTTGGCCGCTCTTAGAAATCGGAGCCCAACAGCCGTTAAAAGGTGCAGTCAAAAAGAAAAGGCAAACTTTGTAACCCCAATTATTTAAAAAGCAGCATATCGTGATATCATGTACAAAACTCGGACCCTCCCCCTCCCTCCCCCCGCTTCCTAATTGGCCCTGAATTCTTTCATGCCTCATCTACTCACAAGATAGACAGGAAGCAGCTGGCCTGACAGATCACAGTTTATCATTAATTTTTTTTTTTTAAAAATCAATCAGTAATTCAAGCCAGAACTTGTTCACTCATCCTGCACACTTTGTTTTAGTCATTCCTTCTTCTTTGCAATGATTCAAAGTGACTAAAATGTCTTCTATCACACCAGAGTGTTCTTTCAAAACCACGTTTACCAGTGAGCCCCCTGCAGTAAATTGCCAACCCCAGACATTCAAAAATCATGAGTCTATAAGGTTGCCAGATACCGTCACAAAAAAATCCCGAACAGGCAGGGAAAAATTGGTTGGGGGGGAGAGGGAGTCACTGTGCCTTTAAATTACCGCACTTCTCGCTCCCCCCCTGCCCTCGCAGACACCGCCGGCCTTCCGTCGGAGGCAAACAGAAAATACCGGACATTTTACGAGTCTGGTATTCTCTGTTTTTTTACCGGACGGAAGACCAAAATACCCAACTGTCTGGGTGAAAACTGAACACCTGGCAACCCTATCAGTCTACCTGCAAAAATTTAAAAGGGACCGGCTAAAACAGGAGTTGGGAACCTAAGGCCAAAGGGCTGGATGCAGGTCCCAGCTTGCCTCGATCTGGCCCCTGAAGCTCAGGGCTCCCCCTCCCCAGGACTGGGGAGCCCGCGCTGGCTCTCCAGTTGGAGCACCCAAAATCTACTAGCCTGGGCCCTGCAGGCTCTGGTGTGGGAGTGGGATGTGGGGAGTGTCTCTCTTTTGCTCGGTCAGGAGCCAGACACCTCAATGAGGGCTTGGGAGGTTTTTTACCCCTCTCACTTTTGTGCGGCCACCAACTGATTTTTCTGTGAGTCAGCAGCCCCCAACCCAAAAAAGGATCCCCACCCCTGTGCTAAAATATCACAAGATGTTTTCTAAGCAAGAATACATTTGGGTTCCTTTTCTTTGTCCTCTGGTGCCTGAATGTTTAGATCACAGGTCACATTTTCAAGCTTTCCTCTGCAACCACAAAGGCTAGAAAAACTTACTCTTTTAAAAACGGAAGCTGAGATTTCCACATAATCCCAGGACTCCAGGAGCCACGACTTCACGGAAGTCACCCAAGAGCGTACAAACAAAATACATCCCATATGGAAAAACACACGTCAACGTGACATTATAGTCCCTCTTTCTCCTCTCCAGTCCTTACACCCTTCGGTTTAATGCTCCGGCTAGTTAAAAACACAATGGATAGATGGTACTAAGAGAACCAGGTTCTACCAGCCTTGCTCATGATGAATGGAACCTCATTTTGTTATGAGCACAGGCAGCAGACTCAGCCCCGTATGTAAGGGAGCGGCATACAAAAAACAATCCCCCAGAAAATTCAACTGTTCTCTAACACTCTAAAATCTGACACTTGGCTCGCTACTGCAGCTGCGGCACTGGAGAAAACAGAATGGGTTTTCCCCCGAGAAGTGTTCAGATAGTAAGACTCTATTGTCCTAAAAAAGAACCCCAGGGACCCACGGAAATCATGAAATTCAAATCCTCCACTCCTCAACTTCTTGGAGTTTATCATTCTGGCCCACAGTGACGTGGTAGGTATTAGAGAGAAAAGTGCGGAGAAGTCCTCTGCAATTAGGCCTCAGAAAGCCATGGCATCTCCTTAGTAGTGCCTTGTTTTCTTTGAGAGTTCACAGTCAGGTCAGCCAAGTTTTAAACTATAAAATTATATTGCAGTGTTAATCAAGGAGGGGAAGGGGGGAGGACTGGTTAGGAGCGGTATTTAAAAGCTCTCTATCTAGTGTTTCGACTGAAAAGAGCCTCTCTTCTGAGCCCATCAGATCATCCACGTTTGGGGCAGGAGGGGACAGGTATTTTCTATGGCCTCATTTAATCAAAACGCTACATTCCCCTTCTACAGACGCCCCCACAGCCTGCGCACCCGGACGTGAAGGTTAGTTTCTGGGCTTGTCTGGCTTTGTTTGGACTTCCATGGTGCAGACGTTTGAGGAGAACTTAACCGAACCTGCAGACACGGCCACCCTTCCCTCAAGAAGTGACAAGAGGAGCAGCCCTAGAGGCGAGACGATGGCCGTTACTGCACCGTAATTTGCTCCGTTCCCTCAACAGGTGCCCGGGCCGCTCAAACTCGGGAGCAAGCCAGAGAAACTCTTCTTGAATCTGCCCCTGCTCCGTAGAGCCAGGAGACAGGAAGTAAGGAACGCAGCCACGTGCAGCAAATCACGTTAACACTACGAAAACGAGCCACAAGGAACAACTACATCCTGCCAGGGCACAGACATTTTCTCACAAATGGCTGCAACTTTATGGGCCTGATTCTCCACTTCCTTCCGCTGGAGCAGAGGGGGAAGCTGGGTGGCACAGATTGGAGGAGCAGGGACCTAGTCCGGCTTTGTACTGCCGCGAGTGAGCGACTGCACTCCAGCCGGGGCGTGGCAGACGGGCCCTGCGCATCTGGCTCAAAGTGCCTTCAGTGTACTGGCTATAATCCCATGGAAATCAGAACTAACTGGCAGTGTTGGGAATTTGTTTCGCGTTTTCTAATAAAGAGACACCTGGCCAAGATGGTAACAGCATTATGTTACGGTAGCGGAGAAGACTGGAGAACATTACTTCTAATCTAAAAGGGAAACTCTCAGATCTTCTAGACCTCACGCTGATTCAGATTTACAACAGAAAACGTGTTCTTCATTCTCCAGTTGTATTGCACAACCCTATCCCCCGCTCAGATTCAAACAGCAATTAGTGTAGGTCCTACAAAAACAACCCTCTGTGAATCTGCGATACCCAGGTGCCAACGCGGTGGGAAGCTGGCACCTAGAAAAAACGAGGGGGAGCCGATACCGAAATGGCATTTCTCCACAATAATTCTTGACCAGATGTGCAGATGTTTTCGCTAAACACCGAAAACATGGAAATTAGAACTTCCAGGGACTTCGGCATCCACATGAAGGGAGTGAAAAAAGTTCCAGAGATAAATCTTTTTCCAAAGCCTGATAAAAATAAATGGCAAGTCTGACAGCCCCTGTCCTCAGAGCGGTGTTAACTTAACCTGGGAATGAGCCAGGGAAGCGCGTGACTAATTGTGGCTCCCCAGCCAGTCACTGAGCCCTAGAAACAAAACAGGCGCACAGAAACCAGACAGAGCACAGGTTTGCATTGGCATCAGCTGGAGGGAGGCGGGGGGAAGAAATCCTGCAGTTCGTGCTCCTTTTCAGGAGCCCGCAGAAGGGATCGCTAGGGGGCCTAGTGCAAGGAGACCAGATGGCACTGCAGACCTGGGACCCCGACCTCCTCTCCCGACAACTCACTCCTACCCTGACTACCTACTCGGCATCTCTTCTAAGTCCTGGCTGAGACAAGGTGATTGCAGACCCCACTACAGGCTACATTACGTTACCCAAGTTCAAAGCCATATAACCGGGCGGGGAGGAGGGGTTGGATGGTTCTGTGCCCTCACCGCCACCAGGTCCACTCCACCCCCCAAGTCAGGCCTTAGCTCCGCCTGGAGCACGGCACCCAGAGCTCCAGCGGTGATTTCAAGGGCCCGGGTCTCTGGCAGTTGCCGTGGTATAGGAGGTGGCAGCTGGGAGCCCTGGGCCTTTTTGAATTGCCAGGCCCCCTTTGTCCCCCAGCCCGGTCTGCGGACCTGCATCCAACTAACCCCACAGGGTTGGCACTAGCACAGCTCCAGTTCAGCAGTGAATTCAGTGAAGCTTCAGTACGGGCAAGCGCCCATGAACCGAGGCCGCCATGCTCTCCCTCATGCCCCAGCCCCAGTCGTGGGGGCTCACGATTCAACAGTGACAGTTCCGTCCGTCCCCAGGACAGATGCCCTGCCTGCAAAGTGGGGCAATCGCCAGCATCCGGTTGGGAAATGGCTTGTTGTTTGGAAGCCTGTGGTATTGGAATCAATTATAAAGCCATATAAAGAAAGAAAAACAGTGCAAACGGGAACAAAACATTTTGATTTTTCGTGTTTCCATTGGCCCGAGGCAATTTCTTTTTCACAATTTTCAGTCCATGGGCCGTTTGTTTTCATTCCCCTTTGGAACAAACATCAGTGTCAAAAAGGGGGCCGTTCCCATGGTGCCGAGTTAGGGTCATTAGGTCTCGTAATTACACTGCACTATCCGTTGCCACATGTTTGGTACTACGGGGCCCGACGTTACTCGCATCCAGCATGCTAGTGTCTTTCTATCCCTGTCCCCAGCGGGGTCTCTCTGCCCCGTTTCTCTGTACTGAGCTCTGCCCTGCATGGGATCGGCGGGGAGGCTGGCTGCTCCCAGGTGACCAGAGACAGAAGTAGCAGTTTGCATGCACAGACCTCGGACATGAGATTTCCCATTATTCCCTTCACATGCTGGGGCTGGCTCTCTCCTGTTCTGCAGCTTGTTATGGCCAGGTCTATACTACACCCAAAAAGGCTGCCACTCCAACTCCAACTATGTAAGCAACAGAGCTGGAGTGGACAAACCTTAAGTGGAGCTCTGTCTTCACAGAGGGAGGTTGATGGGAACAAACGTTCCCGTCAACTTCCCTTACTCCTTGCAAATCGAGGAGTACAGGTGCTGACCGGTGGGAGGGGGTGCCCTCAGCGTTCGATTTAGTGCAGTGTTTCTTAAACTTTTTAAGACCAAGGAACACCAAGGATTTTTTTTATGAGGAACACCAAGGATTTTTTTTGTTGAGGAGCAAAAAAAGAGGTCAAAGGAAAGTAACTGAGGAAAAAAGAGTCGGGGGAAAGTTATGGAGGGGAAAAAAGGGCCACCTGCCCCTTTAAGATGGCCATTTTGAATTCAGTTCACCACAGCACACCAGCGTGCCACAGAACACGGTTTAAGAAACACTGATTTAGTGGGTCCTTACTAGACCCACTCAATCAAACACCAAAAGATTAATCTCTGTGGCATGAGAGCAAAGGCAGTGAAAAATACTTCCAGATCAGAACAGAAGCATTTGTCAGCCCTATGCACAGGCCTCTGTGGGACACAAGACATGTGTCAGCCCTGTGCAAACCCTGCTGGGGGTTCTCAGAGCACGTGCTAGGTAGCTAGACAATGAGGAGGCCCAACCACCGCAAATGCAGCCAGAAGGTCCTAGTATCAGCAGTTGCCATCCGATAGATCACTTGGAAAGCCCCTCCCTCCCACCTCGTCTGCATTTTCCGACCCTGGGAGCAATTGGCCATCCGCAAACAGCTCCAGAGACATGGGGGGGGCGAGAGATAAGCTTGTTTGCCAGCTTATCCCAGTAATTCTGCCACCTCAAGCAGTCCCCCAACACACAATTGACAGAAAAAACACCATCAGGCTGCCTGGCTCGGTAGGACATGCTAGCAAGCAAGCTAAGGGAAAAGGCTGGAAGGTGAGTATGAGTCACCCGCCAGGCGCTTCCTTAACTATTCCCAACTAAGACTGTAGAATGGCCACACTTCAGCAGAGCTGACTTTAATCCTCTACTTGCGGTTTAACAGGTTGGCTGCCCACTGCCCGAGAACAGTGACCGGCAGGTCAGAAGCCGGGCACCCTGGTTAAAGAATACCACGTGGGCAGTGGACTATTTAACCAGAACGGCCCTGCCGTCACGCGGCCTGGCATTTGCATTTGTCCACCTCAAATCAATTTAGGAGGATGCTTCATTAAAAGCTCCTGCGATTCTAAGGTCTGCGTTCTCCAGTGGGACCGACAGCCTTGCCAGGCCGCTGGGAAGGAGGGGGGGAGCCGGGATCTGCACTGTGCCCCCAGACAGGGTAGAACCTCCAGCAGAAGGGGCAGGACTGTGGCTAGGCAGCCCCACCCGCCGGCAGTCCTCAAGGGTGCGAATGCATGCGGCAGGCGGGAACCGAGCAAGCCCAAAGGAAGACACAAGATTTGAGCCCTAAAGGGCTGGCAGGTCCCTAATGTCTGGCAGGCTTCTCTCCTGTCGGCAGACCCGGGGCCTGAAATGGACTTGTAAAAGGCGTGGGATTTCACAGCCCGGCACGGCATGCCCGCCGCTCTCCAGCCGGGACTTTCCGTCCCCGGGAAATGGCCCTCACATAAATACGCTGGTTTAGATTACCAGGCTCTGTGTAAGCATGTCGCAAACCCACAAACGCACGGACATAAACAAACCCGCCTTCGCTGGGGCCCGACTG